GTTATACATCCTTTCACACCGCTGCTGTCTATTTAAAATGCTAAAAATGACTTTGCTTAAAAAATGAGTCTTATTGTTTATTATATAACAATTTCGGGTGTTAATTAATAGGCAGTTAGGATAACAATATAAGGTGTTAATTTATTAACAATATGGGAAAGTCAGTTAGCCCGCCCCATCTGAAATTCAGCTCATTGCATTTTACAAATATGTTGTGTATGGCCAGCGTGGTTAAATAAATTTTTAAGTAAGTAAGATATTCAGACCCACAGGAAGCGCATTCAATATTATTGTGTATTTTGAGATAAATTTTATGGAAAGTATTAATTAAATCACTTTAAAGTTCCCTTCGATTGTATTTTGTATCTTAAAGTTTACTAACAATTTAAAACAATTTACCTGATATTGACTTGGTGGGTATCAGGTAAAATGTTTTAAATTATGCATAAAGATACAAATGAATTTATGAAGGTCCCCGGGAGTAGCATCAAAAGGCACCATTCTTGTCCTTGTGCTATATGTTGCTTTTTTTCAGTTGACCTGGTCCTGTGGGCCTGGGACAATTATGCATGCAAAGGCACAAGTGTCGAATACCAAAGGAGCTACCTCGTACCCAGGCACTTTAAATAATTATAATACATAAAGTATTCAGGCAGGCAAGCAACACACGAAGGGGCCTTTGGGAAGGGTGCGCACTCTTCTCATCAGGCGTTTCTCTTGCCACTACAATACTTCATGTAAACTTGCCATATGTGCATCGCTGTTTTTTACAAATTGGAGACACCTGGGTACGAGGCAGCCAAAGCAGCTAGCCTCTTGAAGAGGTATGGGAGCATGCTTTCCCAGAAGGGGAATGAAGGGGCGAAACTAGCCCGTTTTAATTAGGGGGGTGTCTGGCAAAATTGCTCTGCCAAAACCAATAATGCCTTGCAGGGCCAGTGGTAATACAATACATCACAGACTAAGCTACGTGTATAATTGAACTGCCGATGCCAATGTACATGCATATGAATGGCTTATTGTTTGCTAGCTGTAATAAGTTACTTAATAACCTTACATTCTATCATTTAAAATCTTTGATTGCCCTGCCAATCGGGACGACTCATATTCCCCCCCCCCCCCCCCCAAGTTTCGCCCCTGGGGGTATGGGGGCATGCTCTCCCCTATCTTACATATATTTGTGCAATATTTAACCCATTAAGTGCCACTGCTCTCCCCTTGACGAGTAAAATTGTCTGGCGTTAGACAGAGTAAAATGATAAAGGGCACAATGCGACTCAATGGGTTAAAAAGGCTTAACTCGCAGTCGCTCCTTGATTCAAATATATTAATACAAGTGAAACTTTGATGTTTTGAGTGAAGGCCCTACTAACTTCCTAACCTTCACACAAAGTGTAGAAGTTTTACCTATATTTTTCAGGTACCGGTAGTTGAAGCCTCCCTTAATCCACAGCTTTCTGATGTTTATTATCACTACTTACACTGGCAAAGACCGTTCGAATATATGCATCTGTGAGGCCATGTCAGCATTGCAATTACAAATGAAAGTAACCAAATATTGATCAGTGAGGAATTTGTGTTGAAACTTGTAAAATCACGAGTAATTAATAGCTGCTACAAACAAATCAAACACAGTATTGTGGTTACATGTTAGTCATGTTACATGTAAGTCATGTTAGAGGGATGGTTATGAAAGTTATGAATACTAATTCAGAAGCACGATGATTTGTTACAATCAAAACACACGCATCACTAGATTTATGCTGTAAATGCATGCTAATGAAGCGTGAGATTGTCCCCATGGGCAAAGGCCGCCAAGAGAATTTGTGGGGCCTGGGCAAATCTTCCCTGGGGGCCCTATATATGACATTCATTATTTTTAAGCTAGACCTAAATAGACCTTAGCAAGACTGCATGTGGAGGTACTGTAAGGGGCCTTCAATTTCAAAAATGCTTTGACCAATTTAAAAAACCTACTCAATTTTAGGCTTTTGGTTTCAAGTTTATTTATTTATTGATTTTTTGCCTAGTAGTATTTACAAGAATAGTAATTATGTAAAATAAGTAATGTAAGGCCTAGAGGTCTACTAGAAACCTGGACGGGCTTTTGAATTATGACCCCTAATTGACAAAGAATTGATTAATTAAATTATTTACAGTCAAATGTTTAGAAGAAGAAAAATAATAAACAACAAAAGTACAAAGTATACCTATACTTCGAAAAATATACTTTGGGGCCCTAAGTGGGGGGCTGAGGGCAATTTGCCTGCTCCCCTCTCGGTGGCCCTGATGGGCAGTGAATACTAATAAAGTAAACAAATAAATTCATTTTACAAATTTGTTAAAAATACACAACTGATCTTTATTGGCATTTAACAACGCCATTGTAAATGTCGGTAAAAGATCAACTGCTCATATTTTAATGAGTTACCATATAGCTGGGCCTTTGATGGTTTCACTAGACCTTGACCAGGGTCAACAGAAATTGATGCCTCATGAAATATTTTAGAGACAAAATCTTCAAATTTCCAACAACAACCCCCCCCCCATGCCTCATTTGCACTTGAAAAAGGTATTTTTAGTCCTCTTGTAGGTCACAATTTACGAAAATTTGTCCCCCCCCCCGACCGAGATTTCCGCAACTGTTTGTTATATTACATGTAGACTAGCTAGGTTTTATACTTTCATTGAGTCTTATCAAAATACATATTTCGTTTAGAATCATTGGCATTGCAAATGAAGGTAATATAATATTAAAGCACAACAAATTTGCCTGCCAAAGTATAAGAATTTTGTCGTCAAAATTTGTTTTAAACATTCTTAAAAAGATATTAAATTATCTAGATTTGTCGCGACATTTGCGACATTGTGCTATTTAATTAATATACGTCGATGTGCAACGCCGTTTCATATTTATATGTAAATGTAAAATGAAAATGTATGGTAAATGCTCGGTGTATAATGACTAATGAGTAACATACCTTTGATTTTCATCTCTTTCTTTTAAATTATTCAAAAACTTGAATGTTTTTAAAACTATAAAACATTTACTTACTTTGACCATAACCTTAGTAAAAAAAAGATTGGCAAGTTGCCAACCTCGCAAGCCAGGCTCTCTACTTCCGCTTCCCTCCCAAGCTGGAGGATCTGAATGTGGAATGGAAGGCGGCCTAAAGCCCGACTTTTGGTTAAACTAATTGTTATTGTTGCTTAAAAATTCATAAAACTGGTTAAAAACAATTTTAGCTGTCACAGACAAAACAGAAATTCTCCTAAGTCATTTACATCAGATTTTTCCCCGTTCTTGAAAATGGGGATTACTTTAGCAGTAGACATTCGAAAGAAGGTTACTGAATCTAATACAAAATAGTATACCATGTAGTGTGACCAAGAGTGTTGCAAGAATGTTTATGCTTTAGCACTCTTTAGGTCGTCGGGAAGATACTGATCACAAAACCGCCTGCACGACGTTTCTGGAGCAGGCAATATCTCTTGACTTGTGTTCGTCCGGACCAGGCCGATTACTAACATACTTTTAAAAGGCTTGTTATTTTGTCAGTGTGTTTAATAAAGTTGTGGCAAAAGATAAGATGTCAAATGTCGTGAAATTGAACAAAAGATGGTGATATAAAATGGTTTTGATGGGCGATTCGATAGCTTTTGGTTAAAAATTGTCCCGTTTTATTATTTACGCGAGTCGCGAGGGTTATATTGTTTATCGCGAATAGTAAGTAGTAAAGGTAATAAACGTTTATTGTGGTTTACTTTTTTCACCTAAGTTGGGGTGGACAAGTCAGAAATGGCCTTGGTCAACCAAATTTTTAGCGAGCCCTGGTCGAGCCCGGAAGCCTTTTTAAAAGGATTATCTAAAAGTAGCCACAACACATTCAGCACCAATATGTTTGAAATTGAATTTACTCGGAATCTCTCGAGCAAGTACCGGCCCCAACTCAATAAACTGATGATTATTAAATTTTCTGCAGTAAGTTTTCGAGTAATTCTTTATGACATTCACAATAAATATTATGCATGCATGAAATCTAAAGAAATAGTGTTTCATAAATTCGAGGTCGATCTCGCGGCGGTATACTTGCATACGTCGCACCCATTATGTCAAATTATGGCCACTAATAGGAAGGTGACAGACTCCACTGCTCCGAATACGCTGTGGTGCTGTTGTAGTAAAGTGGTCAATTGAAGATTGACAATTCAATAAGCTTGTTGTTTTCCACAAAACAAATAAATACACCCTTTTGATAATTACGTCATTTGGCTTTGGAGCCTCGCTCTCACGAATCGTGAACCAATCACCGTGCGTAATTTACTGATGAGAGCAAGGCTCCAGGACCAAAAAGTATGTGTCATACAAACTATTATATCGTTATTATACGTTATACGTAACGTTATTAAATCGTTTACATATATTTTGAAGGTAATAGTAATTGTACTGAACGTGGTGCTGGTTTACAGATCAAAAGGTGCTCAGATAAAATGATCGAGCTGTTTTCCACAAATCCAAAAAATAATGAACTGTAGTTGATACAACCGTATCAACAGTATTAAAAAGTTTCCTCTTTTTATTATATAGAAAGTAGACGTATCCTGTGGTGCATTTTTTGCTCAACGATGGACGGCCTTGTTGATGAGACTGTTCATGTTATATCCTTAGCTAGATTTAAAAAAGGCAAAAAGTACAAGGAACAAATATTGCAAGAAATAATAGCTGCCATTTGTGCTATGCTAAATAGCAATGGTGGAAAAGTGGTGATAAATATTGATAGCAACGACATCCCAGGGGAAGATTCCCGTTTCTCTCAAATGTCATTGATGATTCGAATACTGGAACAATCAATGCTATCTATCACTGCGTTGAGCCAGTATGTCTCAAAAATAAAATGCAAAGAGGATGGAGAAAGCATAATGATTGTAGTCAAACAAGCTGATTCTTTAATAACAACTAATTATAATCTTTATTTACCTAGTCATTCACAGGTTGTACACGCATCTCCTCTGGAAAAAATAGAAAACGTCAACGATATCATCAACAGAAAAATCGTCTCGGAATTAGTCCAACCTGGCTCACATTGCAAAATATTTCCAAGAGGTGAAAACTGTGATTTTCACGAAACCATGTGTATTCAGTTCAAGCATGTAAAAGCAGGTCCATCAAAACGTACCACCCTAGCAGATCGTATGACTGGTAAAGGAAATAAATTCAGTTGCTATGTTTCAGCGTTTGCCAATTATAACGGAGGTCATATCTACTATGGCATCAAAGATGACAAAGTTGTTGAAGGAGAGCTAATTTTGAATGAGGAAGACAAGAGGAAAATAACAAAGATAATTGAGAATGCCATCAACAAGATGATTTGGCCTGAGCAGATTGGGCAACCAAAACGAGGGGAACACTGGGAAATATTCTTCGAGCCAGTGTTGGATGAAAACTCCAAACCTATCCCATCAACCTTTGTGATCGTGATTTACGTCGCTGCTTGTATGGGTGGTGTGTTTACTGAGGAGCCAGAATGTTATGAAATGGTGGAGGGGAAAGTTAAGAAGATGTCGCTCACCAATTGGAGAAAAGCAATATTGCATCCAGTTTGGTTGCGTAGTAGGGAAGAAACCCCGCGTTCAGTTCAACGCGTTGCTTGGAGCTCAGCTGAGGCTCGAAGAGCTTTCACTGTTGACAGCGACCACTTGCGAAAGCTAATTAGTAATGGTATTTGGGATACCCTTCCGGAAGAGTATGTATGTCTTCAGAGTAAGTCTGAATTATGCAAGACGTTGAAATTACTGGTTTTGTCCAAACAAGTTAGCGCGTGTTACCGTAGAGGTAGTTTCGCAGAAGCGCGCATCTTTCTCGAACAGTACAACGCCATTTTACCGGAAACCCGGGATTACTTGTTTTTTGAGGTGATGGGATTGTATTTACAAGCAGCTCTAAAACGTGCAAGTGGAGATTTTCAAGATCTCCCAGGACTATTGACTGAAGCTTTGTCCAAGGCAGAACTGATTGAACCAGGTCTGGTAACAGCAATAGTATACGTTTTTGCTGGAACTGTGACTGACTTAATTAATTCAGAGGACCCATCAAATAAGATAGATTCACCTGATGTTCTTTCAATAAGAGCCCTGGAACATTTACGATGTGTCCCAGATGCTTCTGACGTTCTTGCAGATATGAAACGGAAGGTATATATAACATTGGCCACTTTTTACCTTGGCTGTAATATAAGTGGACAGCGTATCAAGGGTAATGTAGACAATTCAAGTTTAGATAAAGCAAAGACCAGCATGAAGGCTGTACATCAATCTACTTTTGAAGAACACCCACTGAGTAGGTATCATGAAGTTCAGCTCAATTTGGTAAAGTCGATATTTCATTATCGATCTTCGCAACTCATTCCTGATCAAAGAATTCGATTTTTGGGTAATGCCTCTAGGTACGCCAATGAAGCTGAATGTCTTGCAAAAGATTATCAGTTCGCGGAAATGGTTAAATGGAGTGAGGCTAATCAAGCTTTGTACACGGAAGAATTAGTACCGGCGAATTCGCCCACTCAGAACCACGCGAACAATGCTGATCACATGAGAAACGATGAAACAGGCTTTAGGCCAGAAAAACGAAAGGATGCATTGGATACGCAATCGAGCTTTGATGAAAGACGAGCGCGAAGGAGAAATTATGATGCGACTCGGCATTCTGATAGAACGATTGGCATTGATGATATTGCACAGCCTGCAAGTGAATTTGAACCTGCCTCACCCCAAAGTGACTTTGTTGAAGTGAAATCAAAAAGAACGCAAAAAAAACAGAGGGAAAGAGCCCGTGAAGAGGAGGAACGAAAGCAACGTGAAACAAAAAAGCATATGCAAGGTGCGATGCCAAAACCCAAAACGAATAAATCTACCTCGCAAAACAAGCAGCACTTGACATCCAAACCACCTAGATTTGCAAGAAACATGGGAGTACTGTGGACATCCAAACCACCAAGCGGTGTTACTCCTGTAGCTAGCCCCGAGAATAATACAATTACTGCCCTGGCTTCAGCAAACGTGGAACAAAAACGTGTTTCTCCATTGATGTTGGAGAGACCAAGCTCTTCACCACCACCTCCAATGTTTAATGCTTGGACCAAGCCACTTTCTATCACGCCTGCAAAACCTCCCAATGAAGCATCGGCAGAATTACCAAGAATTGTCCAACCAGATCCATTGGCAGTTGAAAGAGGGAAGCCTCTACGTACGGATGATAGGAGACTTAGAGCCGATACCAAAGACAATGGCGAACCAAAGTCACAACCTAATACGGATAAACCTAAAGAGGTAAGTACTTTAGGGAGGGGAGAAACTTCCTTTTGCGAGGGGAGAAACCTCCTTTTGCGAGGGGAGAAACCTCCTTTTGTGAGGGGAGAAACCTCCTTTTGTGAGGGGAGAAACCTCCTTTTGTGAGGGGAGAAACCTCCTTTTGTGAGGGGAGAAACCTCCTTCTGTGAACTGTTTTGCCTTAACTTTTATGCAAATTTGCTTAATCTATAGCTTGCCAATAATTTTATGGTTGTAAAGGTTAGCTTTGTTACATAGGTTCTGTATCTAGCTTCCATTGGTAATGATTGGCCCTGTTGTTTGCGCCTGGATAATAAGTTGAAAAATAATTTATAAACTAATAATATTAATAATTTTTTTCCAGAAGAATGACGGCAGACCACGCAGTGCTTATCGTCCCCGAGATGTAAACAAAACACAGAAAGCAAAACTACAAGTTAAGAATGCAAAGTCACAAAATTCAGATGAAAATAGAGACCAAAACAAGGAAAGAAATTCACAGGTACGTAGCCAGAGTATCAAGCCATTTTCCCTCAAATGCGGGTGGATGAAAATTAAAGAGGATCTGAAACAAATCCTTATCAAGCTGCATGTAAAATGTCTTTGATCGGTTAATGATAATGAGATGTGATATTATTGTTTATAATATATTTAGCAGCCCCAGCGTGACAATCGGACACCGTCAGGACGACAGGGGCAACGTTCACCTCCAGGGCAATCTGAGATGTTGAAACATGTCCATGCTAAACCATTTCAACCTCTAACTGGTATCTCTCCCGGAAGTGCTACCCACCAGATTGCCCCCAACGTTCGTCAGGCACCAACAGTGTCAGGACAAAGTAGTGTGCCAACTGCCTATCGCGTGAACAATGCCGTGTTGTCCATGCAGGCCACTGGTGCTACAGCATTGCAAGGCAGCGTATCATTTAGCGATCACACTGGGACATCACCAACTGGAATACAAGCCCATACTTTACCAGTTTCCCACTTCAGTTTCCACCAATTCCAGCCTGCTGTGGGCTCGTTTCCACGTCAAGCTCTTGTGCAGCAATTACCACCACCCACTTACTCTGCTGGGCTGACCTACACAACCACTTTTCCCACCCCACCGCCACGAGTGTTGCCACCGATGCCAAGTCGAAGGTCTTTTAATCCGGTCGGTGCTGCCCAACCCCAAATCGCGGCGTACCAGCCCTTACTCAGACCTCAGCAACCAACACAACAACAACAACAACAACAACAACAACAACAACAACAACAACAACAACAACAACAACAACAACAACAACAACAACAACAACAACAACAACAACAACAACAACAAATGTTCAGAAATCAACAACATCAACAGATGCATCAACAGTTAAGCAACGCGTCACGATTTCCTTTCTGTGACTCGAGTTCTCCAGGTTACTTCTAGTTGTGGAGCTACACTGTCGATTTCATAATAGAGAGATTCGGATTCAATAGACAATTCCAGCTATCGACTAATTTTTTATCTAGACAAGAAAGCCGAAATATATCATTATAGCTCAAAAGAGCATCCTAAAATTAGTAAAATTGCAAAATTTGGTTGCGAAATGTTGTAACTGAATACGGAAAATATAGCCCTGTGAAATTAGCAAATTTTGAGTATTTTAGTATTACGCGCGGTAAAAATAACCACTTTCGACTCAAAAATTTTACCGCTCGTAATACTAACATACTCAAAATTTGCTAATTTCACAAAGCTATATTTTCCGTATTTTACAACATTTCGCAACCAAACTTTGCAGTTTTACTAATTTTAGGATGCTCTTTTGAGCTATAATGATATATTTTGTCTCTCTTGTCTAGATAAAAAATTAGTTGACAGCTGGAATTGTCTAATGACTTTCACTACGCTACCTCTCACTGCCGAAATACACATCTGACTGGGTAATGGTAGCGCGGTAGCGATAGTCAAAATCTGAACCTAACAAAATAACAGCGAGGTTTATACTGTATTTGACTTCTCGAACGGTTGTGCCAGTCTAGGTAGTGACGATAATGAGAAAGCTATGGATTAAGAAGGATAAAACTACATAAAAAATACAAGCAGAACTCCCATGTTTCGAACGTAGGCCCTTCGTCGTTCCTAACTTCCTGTAAACAAAAAAAACTCAGAATCAATTGGTATATTTAAAAGACAGTATTCAATATTTCTCCTATCCGAACAAATTTAGAAAAATGATAAATTAATATAGTTTGTAAATAGTTTTGACTATATATTATGTATTGTAATGTGTGTTATTTAGAGACACAATTTGTTTCTTTTGGCTCATCTCGTTTAGTTATATCATGAAATAGTAGACAGTGGTCAACTAGAAAGCTATGCTCCTTTGACCTCTGTGCACTAACACTATATTGATTTCATGGGCGTACGGGAAGGAAAAAATTAGGGGGGCGGAAAGAAATTTGCCCCACTTTTTCGGATTGTGCCCGCGTTGTCAAAAAAATTTTCCGGAGAAACTTTCCAAAATTGTTGTCGATGGGGG